AGCCCCTCCTCCTCCTCCTCCTCCTCCATGTCTGGATTAACAATAATGAATGTGCTGATGTCATGGTTTGGTGCCCAAGGCTGAGGAGTTTGTCAGACATTAAATCCCTTCCAGGGATCTGTCCCTCCCCAAACACACTCTCTGTTCCTCCTGCCCCCTTCTGGCCTGGAGTAGGCAAGCATCTTAACTGACTTCCACCACTCTGCTTGTAGGGCTTTACTGGAGAGGGGGAAATGTCTCCTTTCAGAGGTAGACTCTGTGACAATATACTGTGCTGAGGGCCTTGCCCTGACCTCCCCAGGCTCTTCCCCCCAAATCTCCAGCAATTTCCAACCCAGAGTTGGCAACCCTGTAAGTAAACAAGAGGAAGGTGGGCAGGGAATTTCTATAGGGCACATCTCATGAAAGAAGAAGCAAGCTGGAAAACAAGAACGCTCCATGACACAACGGCTTTATTTTCATTTCTGTTCTGTTGTACTGCTTGATCCGTGTAGGCCAAGATGCACCCCACCATGGTCAAGGGATCAACTCCCCTAAACCGGCCTCAGCACTGCTCAATCTTGAGGGAGTGAACAGCCTTCTCTGTACGGGGCCTTGTATGCTCTTTGTCAAAGGTCCACCTCCTCAATGGCACTTGGCTTCTGCTTAGGGTTGCCAGGTCTTACCTGGCTGCCGGGAGGGGGTGGGTCCTTCTTCTTCTGTGGGAGATCTTCGGTGTGTGTGCCGTGATGATGTCACCCGCAAGCAGGGGTCATTTCCTCCAGGAGCGCACAGGAGCGGAGCTCCGGCAGTAAAGAGCCCAAAGGGCGGGCACATGCAACAAGCCCCACCCCCTGCTCCCAGCAGCCCTCAGTCAGAGCAAGAAGCAGCCAGGTAAGTTGCAGAGCCCCCCTCCCCCTGGTCCAAAACAGTCCAGTGGCACCTTTAAGACCAAGTTTTATTCAGGTACAAGCTCTCCCTCCTCTGCAAGGACAGATCTGCACGTACCCCCCAATAGCTAGCAACCTATGCAAATTAGTTATGCTAATGAGTTATGCTAATGAGCTCCTGCACCTCTTTTTCTACAAAATGACCCCTGCCCGCAAGTGATGTCATCATGCAGGGCACATTGTGGGTGGGGCCTCTAACGTTTGAGGAAAGACCATAGAGTTTTTCCTTGAATGATAGACCATCCTCCTGCAACATGCCCTGAGTGAGGATGTCACCTCCTGGTTCTCCCTGCCAGCTGGATCTGGGCCAGCGGATCGAGGGCCCTAAAAGCAGGCAACCCCCCCCCCTGGGAAGGGGGGGAAATGGCAAGCCTACTTCTGCTTTTCTTTCCGTTTCCCCCCAGCCCAGTCATCATAAGCCTTGGAGAGCCCTTGTGAACTGTAGGCCTGAAAAGTACTAAGACTTACTAGTGATTTCAGCTCTCATACATTATTTCCAGTGTAGAACAAGACAAAAACTACCGGCTCGCAGGCTGGTTTATAAAGGCAAACAACCCACACCCCAAACACACCCCTATACCAGTAATAGGATATTTACAGTGGCCGAGAGTTCCATAGGCTCTCGGCCTGGAGCCTAGCCCTCCGATTGGTGCGGGCTAGGATCCACTTGGCCCATTGTTCCTGAGAGTGAAGCTTGGCCACTTCGCATGACCGCGTGGCGACCTAGCTGCTCACGTGGTTGGAGCTGGATACAGTACAAGGCCTAATGGAAAATTTAGACAAAGGTCTCAGGCAATGTTCCCTCTAAGCTGTGGAGTCTTGTGAGCAAAACTTCCACTTTGTGAGCTACTGGCACTAAAGTTGTGAGCGAGCAATTTGGCTACTGCATAGATTCATTTGCTCTGGAGCCATCCTTCCTGAGCTAAGGCAAAAATGTGTGAGCCGGAGGCTAAAAAACCGTGAGCTAGCTCACACTCACTCAGCTTAGAGGGAACACTGGTCTCAGGCTCTCTTGAGGTCTACAGGCTGCTCATTCCTCAGCCTTAGGACCAGGATTGTTGTGACAGCTAGTATTGATTCTTTAAGAAACTGGTTTAATCAGCTTCTTAGTTACAGGATCCGATGTAATCAAACTTTGTAACAGAAGTTATTTAAAGCGTACATTAAGGGTGGATAGGGTTGCCAAATGACCCCGGGGGGCGGGGAATCCCCTGCTTCGGAGCCCCGAGTTCCGCCCCGGCGGAATCGGGGCCCGGGGGGAACCCCGCCCCCGAAGCTGCGTCACCAGAGGTGATGCAGCCACATTGCTGACGTTTGGGGCGTGACGTTTGGGGCATGCCCCCAATGTCAGCAACGTCTGACGTCACTTCCGGCCGACTCCCGACCGGGACGGAGCCTCCCCCGCCAGTAAGGTTTCAGGATTTGGCAACCCTAAGGGTGGAGGTTAAACTGAATGTACAAAATATCTAGAAGAAATCATGCACATACTATATTTGGAATTCGTAAAATTAACAAACAACTACCGAATTTGTTGAAAGGATTCTAGTCCATGAAAGAATTACAGCTCGGTTCCATGACACTGATGTCTAACCAGAGCCACCTTAGGGAATCCAGCCTCCAGTGGGACCCGGGGATTACAGCTCATTTCCTGACTATAGGTAGGTAGGTAGAATTTTATTGCACACCAGGTAGCCATACGAATGTAGATTTGATTCGCTTCCTGCATTCCATGTCATAGAATCACAGAATCACAGAACTGGAAGGGGTCCTACAGGCCATCTAGTCCAACCGCCTGCTCAGTGTAGGATCAGCCTAAGCATCCCTGATGAGGGTTTGTCCAGCCGCTGCTTCAAGA